TAAGATCACACAGCAAGTTAGAGGCAGGCTGTCAGAACCAGTCTCAAGTTTCCAACCTTCCAGTCCAGCACCTTTGCTTTGTGTAATTGCTTTACTTCTGTTCTTGATTGCAGATAGGCACGTCAGTGGTCTTTAGGATCAAACGGACTTTAATAGACTTCATACTGGACTTTTGTTGTTGTTGTTGATTACCTTAGAGTTGAACTCTACTCATAGCGACCCTATGAACAAAAGACCTGAAGCCCTTCTACAACTATCGACATTTATCAAAGGGCATAGAGTTTCCAGAGGCATGTTGTTTAGGAAGTGGATGCCACTCCTGCTTCCAATTAGCTTACTCACATAATTAAAAAATACTAACTTAAATTGAAATATCTAAATACATCTACACTGTATTAAATTTAACTATGCTGACTGATAAGAGCACAAGAATATATTAAATATACTAAACTTTAGTAAACATTACAGGCACACATTAAGCTTTTAATAAATACATTAAAGGGATACATAGTTACAGTAATTCTTTTTACCTTTACAGTAAGAAGAAATTCCTTGTCCTGTGAGCTGCTACCATGCTTTCAGACATTTGTCTCACTTTTAAATAATTAACAAAATCATTGCTTATCTCAGCTTGGGTCCGTTTCATCAGATAATACAAACTCAGTAGCTGATCCCCACATTCTTGATAAGGCAGAACTCAGAAAGTGGCTCATGTGAAAATGACATGAGATTGAGTAAAATTACTAACAATCTTTTCTGCAGAGAGTGTTAAAGTGAAGTATAGGATCAAGCTTTTGTAGAATCGTTGAGGAAGCTCTGGTGGTCGGGAGCTACGCTGCCAACCAGAGACAAAGGATTCAGATCATAACTGCCAATTTCAAGTATGAATTACAATGAAGGCTATTAAAGTCGCTGTACTTTGTGGTCCTCGATGCTGGTAACACTTGGTTGCTGATCCCTTTTAGGAGTCTACCTTCTGTTACATTTCCAACCCTAGATAGGCTACACAGGCAGCATCCTTAATCTTAGTTTAACTTTTAATAAAATAAAATTCGTAGACCTTTTTAATGAGCAATATACGAATTTATCTGGAGGTATTTTAATATAATACCTTTTCAATTATACTATGAAATAGATTATCTCCAAACGTAGAAGGGTGTTTAATAATATGAGAATTATAATATTTATTAAACACATAGACTAGGTAGGACTTCATAATATTTATTGTTTTAATTCATGTTATTGTTAACTTAGGCAGGCTTTTGCTCATAGGACTTGAAAAAAATGCTTACAAATAAAATTTATACATTGAAAATCATGGTTTATTAGAAATCGACATAGTTATAGAGACATATAGATGTGTGCCTGTTGTATTCAGGCAGGTCTTTGTTATGAATATGGTTGCACTGAGTACTATACTGTTTTTTCGTCAGTTTTCAGAATTAGCATTTCATATTCTGTTATACCTTTAAATGAACAACTGCATTAGATGTTAATTTTTATTATACTTCATTTTTTATATTGACAGTGTGTGCTATATACCTACAAAGAACATTTCTTGAATGTGTTAGCCACAGTCCATACATTTCCTTTGTATCAAATCATTTAATCCTCATAACTCTTTGAAACATGGTCAGTTAATCCCATTTTCTTAGGTGAAAACTGAGGGTCTGGGGGAATAAGTAATATGGCCAAGGTCATGTGTTGGTTTAGGAAAGAGTGGTATACAAGCCTAGATAGGCTGGCTCTGGAGATTGAACATTATATTATCTCTGTATGACATCATAAACCCCAAAGGTTTCACAGTAATTGTGGTGGAAGTGGACTGTAAAGGGGATTGAGAAATCGAGCCGTAGCCCTCTTGAGAGCCCAGTGAGAACACAGGATTATTTTCTGTGAATTGGGAGCGCTGTGGTGGCACACTCTTTAGTGGTGGTGACACCTCGGCTGGTTCAAATCTTCCCAGTTCCTCCATGGGAGAGGGAGGAACAGTCTCCTCCCATGAATTTGCAGTCTCCCAGAAACCTGCTGGAGAGTCAGCTGCGAGTCAGCCCCAGCTCCACGGCCAAGAGTTTGAATTGAGGACGAAAAGGGTTGAGTTCTGTGTTTTAAGGGAATGTTTTGCTTAATTTTCATCTTGATTCTTCACTTAGGACATTTTAATCTTGTAATTTCATGGTCTATGTTTGATGAAACATTTCTGAGAAATTTTTTTCTTTCCACAGAAACTCAAACAGAAGAATCAACAGCTGAAGCAAATTATGGATCAATTACGAAATCTCATCTGGGATATAAATGCCATGTTGGCAATGAGGAACTGAGTTGATATTTAAATTTCTTGCTTTACACATGCTATACCTTTTGTGGTTGCAGGTGGTTTTTTTCCCTATGAAGAAAAGTATTTGCTTTTATTCTACTTACTAGGATTAATTTAAGTTACTATTTTTATATATTGTGGTTTTTTGTTAAAACATTCATTGAGTAGTTTTTGGTGTTTTGTATTGTTGTTGATCCTAAGAGGGATTATTTTGATAAACTGGTAGAGTTTGTGTTTTGATTGATTTTTATGAATGGGAATAATTGTTTTTTTAAAGAAAAATAATATAGTTTTGTAAATAAATTTTTAAATTTGTTAATGAGTTTTGCTAATTTCATTACCCTTTAGAAGAAAATGCAAAGATTTAAATATTTTTTACCAGATGCGAGTATCACATGTAATCAATCTATGGTACAAATTAGAAATGTGTTATCATTTCACTTCTAATGTCAAAACTTTTCTTTATGTTCCAAACCAGTTATGAGAAGTAGTTCATTACACATACATTATTTATGAAGTATACTGTATATGTTCATGCAGTTGTGTAAGTAGATGAAATGATCTTGATCCTATTCTTCATATATTGATTTCACCAGAAAAGCTCTTGTCTCTAAAAGGAGAAAAACAAATTATGTGAGAGGATTACAAAATGAAACCACAAAAAAGCAGTTTATGTGCTGTAGACCAAGATCAGTGCCTTCTGGCTACACATTTTTCAGATACACCACAAATTAATGGTCCAGTCCATTTTAGAAACAGATTTAGCTAGAATTTAGAAGTTTTAAGTGAGTTATTTTGATGTGGAAAGTGCTTTTGTAGGTTAGTTGGTCTCTTGCCAGTGTTTATAGTCTTCCTAGGAAAGTTACTGTTTTAGATTATAAATAATACATCCTCAAATGGAAGCTGGATTCCTCTCAGGAAGGACCTTTCCAGCCCCACTCAGAAGCCCCCATTTACCTTGCCTGAGTTCTGACTCTAAAAGATAGTGCTTATGACTTCTTTACTAAATTATAACAAAATTCACCTCTAAAAAAAAAAGCCGTCTATATTTTTTTCTTTCTAAAATTTACTCTTCAGCTTTTATAAATCTGAGAATTCTGAATGTACATACACAAAATGTTAAAAAATAGTTCATTTAGGACTTTGATTTTTTGACTCCAGATTCTGAACCTTCATTTTTTTGGACTTAAGATTCTGAACCTTCCTATTTTAAGTTTTAAATAAGTTCGGATCAGGAAATACATAAGGAATCCTTACTGTGTGTATGTCACATCATCTACTAGGTGCTGAGAACACAGACGTCATTGAGCCGCGGTCCGGCCCACCTCCCAAGGATATGCCTCTAGGATGGAAAGACATGAACATGTATTTTTAAAATCTAATTGTTAAGTGCCTTGAGAGAAGGATAAAAAAGAATTTTTAATTCCTTCCAAGTTTTCATCTGACTGCCTTAATTGCTTCCAAAGGAGCCCTGGTGGTACAAGCATTAAGCACTCAGCTGCTAATGGAAAAATGGGCAGTTTGACCCCACCGGCCGCATAAATATGGCTGCCTGCTGCGGTTGCCAATCCAGCCTTCATTGTCTACCCTTCACCGTCACAGCCCTCTACCTGTTGTCACCCTGGGTTCCCTGCTTCCATTCACCCATTATTTCTCCTGTGTTGGACATAATTGGGAGGGGTACCCCCATTTGTTATTTTAATTATCACACTTAGGTTATTGGACATGCTGCAATTAGAAAATTCTTAGACATTATGAAGTTACATCCTGTCGCCTCTGGTTCTGTAGGAACAATCTCTACCAAAGAATAGTTATCAAGGCAGCTATACTCAGTACAAAGCTGGAGCCCCAAACTGGTGCCAGGTTGACTAGTCACTCACAAATCTACTTGGCGTCAATCGTGAGCGTGAGCACACAGACACCCACCAGAGTTCATTCTTGAGGGAAGGCACGCCAATACGAAAAGATGAATTCAGTCACAACAAGTGCCCGTGATGAAGTTAATCCCCGTGTTCTGCTCTGTAAAATGAGGGGTGGGATTAGCTGATCTCATTATATCATATTCTATATTAGTTGCACATTGTGGAAACCCAAGTCAAAAGGCTTAAGCTGAAAAGTAATTTGTTAGTTACTGAAGTGAGGAAAGATGCTAGAGACGAACTCGTAATCAAAGCTGCTGCAATCAAGATGTCAGGGATTAGAACTGAGTCGACACCCTCGGGATTCTCTGTGCCTGCACCCAACTTTATCTCTTTTTGGCTTCTTGCTCTCTGACCACAGGCAGATTTTCTCCAAAAGTGCAAGAGAGCCTTTGGGTGGTCAACCTCTATGTCCTTTCTGTGAACCAGTCTCAGAGGATGAGTGGCAGTGGAACAGAGGACAAATAATAGGTGAAAAAAGGCCTGGAAAAAAGGGTGAAAAACACAAGAGCGGCACCTGTAGATCACTGATGATCTTCTGTGGTTCATTATCTATTATCAGCTATGCAGCCTTTAAAAGATCAGTATATCCCTTTTAAACAGTTCTCGCTCTCATCTGTTTCAATGCAGTATACAGAATTTATCCCATCTTTCTCAGTCTTCCCCGATCCCCTATGTCAGTCCCGTAGTTATTGTCATGACAGGAATCCAGAGTGAAGGTAGCCTAGTGGTAAGAAATTGTACTGCAATCCCAAAGACCCATGGTTCAAACCTACCAGCTGCTCTGTGGGAGGATGGGCAATCTCCTGTGTCATGAACTGCCTCTGAAAAGCTGCTAGAGGGTCAGCTATATAGGTCGCTTCTGACTCAGCTGCATATAATAGTGCACAGTGTCAATCTTATGTAAAATAGACTTTTAGTAATTTAATTGAATTGTCAGGATGGTGCAAGATAGGGCCAGGTTCAGATTGTTGTTCACAAGATCACTATGAGTCACATTTGACTTGATGGGACCTAGCGACCACAGTAACTTTAATCTTTCAAGTTAACACAGAAGAGTTAAGAAAGAAAACACATAGATCCTTTTTTTAGTTCACAAGCATGACTTAAACCTTATTATGATGTCAGCATATTACCCTTGTCATGTGAAGAAAAAAAAGAATAAATACATCGCTAGGAAGACAAGAACTGATGTCTATGAATTGTGGTGCTGGAGAAGAGTACTGAGTATCTCAAGGACTGCCAAAAGAACATGTGTCTTGGAAAAAGTATAGTCAGTGTGCTCCTTGAAGGCAAAGATGGTGAAGCTTTGTCTTTCATACTTTGAACATGAAGCTGGGTGAGGCTATTCCTTGGAGAGAGGGACATCATACTTAGAGAGATAGACAGTCAGCTAAGGAGAGGTAGAATCCCAATAAGATGAATTGGCACAGTGACTTTGGCAATGGGCTCTAGTATGTCAGAGATGAAGATGGCACAGGATAGGACAGGGTTCAGGTCAGCTGTTCATAGGGTCGTTGAGTCATACTCAGCTTGACGGCACTTAACAACAGGATTACTTTTCAACAAGAACTCATGGCCTAGTGGCAAGAAGCTGTACTGCAAGCCCAAAGACATGCAGTTCAAATCTACCAACTGCTCTGCGGGAGAAAGATGGGCAATCTCCTCCTGTGCAATTAACTGCCTCTGAAAACCCACTGGAGGATCAGTTATGGGTTGGTTCTGACGCAACAGTACACAACAACAACAATGCTAATACATGATTTGTATTTAAAAACCTGGGAATTTATAAAGAAAATGTTGATACATTATTTTGAGGTCTTCCTTGTAGAGATGTGATCCAACAGTCACTAAGTAAAGGGTACCTAAGCCCACCTATACTGATTTAGGTGATTTCAGAACCACCTAAACTCACTTCAAGTTCTTTATGTGTCTTTTTATGGCAGTAGCTATTAGACTTCAGGGTGTGAAGGAGTCACTAGGGAGCCTTTTCAGAAGTGGCGACCTAAGATTCAGCACAGATTTAGAGAATGAGCATTTCTGATGTGGGTTCAAAGGAACTTCATGTAAGTACCTGGGTGGTAAGTCCTGGACACCTTGAAAAAGATTCTAGATATTAGGTTACAGTGATAGTCTTTGTAATAGTATTTTTAAAAATCTTTTTAAAAAACAATGACAAAAACCCAAACTCGTACAATAGTAGTCACCTTGCTGAAATATGTCAGTTGGTATTCCATCAGTTCCTGGGCTTTATTTTTTGCCAAGTCCTTCAGAGCAGCCTGCACTTCCTCCTTCATCGCCATTGCCTCTTGCTTATATGTTGTTTCTTGAAATTTTTCTGTGTCAGCTAATTCTTTTTGATACAATGACCCTGTACACTCCTTCCATCTGCTTTTCATGTTTACCGAGTAATTTAATAATCTGCCCATAACATCCTTAAGCATTGCCAACTCATGGCTTGAATTGAATTTATATTTTAGTTCTTTCAGCTTAACAAATACTGAGTTCGGCCCTTTTGATTTTCTGACTCCAGCTCCTTGCACATTTCATTATAATATTTTGCCTTGTCTTCCCGTGCAGCCCTTTGAAATCTTCTATTCAGCTCCTTAACTTCTTGATTTCTTCCCTTTGCTTTGGCTTCTCCATGCTCTAGTGCAATATTCAGAGTATCTTCTGACATTCGTTTTGGTCTTCGTCTTCTTCCTTCTGTGCAATGACTTTTTGCATTCTTCATGAATGATATTCTTGATATCTTCCCACAACTTATCAGGTCTTTATCCATTAGTGTTCAAGGCCTCAAACCTCTTTCTGAGTTGGTCTTTAAATTCATGGGCAAGAGACCCAAGCCATGAGCATTTTTCAAGATGCTTAACATTACCTCCACTCTTGGGTGGCAAAGAAGAATCCCCCACTGTAGTCATTCAAAACCATGCTCTAATTTATGGGAAAATACAAGAGAAAATGTCACACATGAACAATGTTTGCAGACCGTAGGGAAGAAGAGACTTCCTTCTCTATAGATAACAATACTTCCACGACATTACAGAGTGACATTAAAAGGAAGATGAAATTTTTACCATGGTCC